TCAATGATCCCAAACAAACCACCAGCTGACTGGTTTAAATCTCTGGACTCCTCAATTACCATATTCCTTTGGCAGGATAAACCTCCACGAATTAGCTTAAAAACGCTTCAGAAGACCAAAGACAGAGGAGGACTGGATTTACCGAACTTTTATTATTATTTCTTAGCCAATAGGCTGCAATATATACCAAGATGGTTGCAAGATAACCCACTAGATGAGTCCTGGTTAGATATAGAACAGACACTTTGCAATACAATAGAGCTTTCAGACTTACCATTTATTAGCTCAAGCATAAGGAAACATGAAGGCTTCAAAAGTATTAGTATCAGCACCTCTCTGACAGCATGGTGGGAGTATCTTAAAATGACAGAGTCTTCACTAGTACCATGCAGATGCACACCTATCTGGAATAATCCTGATATTTTGCAAAATAATAAAATGATGAACCTTCCGGACTGGAAAAACAAAGGAATCCTATACCTGGAACACATATATGAAGGATTGGACTTCATCCCATTTAATAGAATAGTCTCCCAATTTGGAATAGATAAGAATAGCTTTTTAGAATACCACCAAATTAAATCTGTAGTCAAACAAAAATTTAAGCTCAATAAAATAGAATTACAAACACCACCAAGGGTATTAGACTTCTATAATCTCAAACCCCCCAAACTACTATCTAAAGTATATAAGACACTGTCCAAAATAGACGATAGAATAGTAATCCCTATTGAAAAATGGGAGGTGGATGTATCAGTCAACTTTTCCAGAACTTCTGGTCCCAAACTTGTTTAAAAACTTTTAAAATGATCAGACACTCCAATTTACAATTAATTCAGTACAAAATTCTACACAGAGTACACTATACAGGTCATCGGATGTTCAAGATGGGGTTTGTGTCATCTGACATCTGTACACACTGCACAAACAACGTTCCTGACAATTACATTCATGCACCGTGATCCTGTCCACCTGTCCAGGAATTTTGGGGTAGAGTTTGTGAAGACCTGTCAAAGTCTCTGAAATGTCATATCCCAACCACCCCCTCTTTTTGTTTACTGGGAAACCTGGACGATGTCCCGATTGAAACATCTTTGGTTCACGTGGTTCTGACTGCCATATGCATCGCTAAGAAAATTATCCTCTTGAATTGGAAAAATAGAGAAACTCTCTGCATTAACCAGTATAGAAATCTTTTGTTAGATCATATTACACTTGATATAGCCTCTGCTTCCACTTCAGATCAATCTCTCTGGGCTCCTTTGATCAGTTCCATCACATAGCGAGGGTGGGGGGCCGTTGATGTTGTCCTGCGGGATGGTGTGGGTGGGGAGGTGTGGGGTCTGAGTTTGGAGTATCCGGATGTTCCCTGGAGGTGGGTTCACTGGGGGTGTCTGGGACTGGGGGGCCGTTGCCCCCCTCTGGAGGTGCTTGGGTTGCCTCGGGGGGTGGACTACTGGCGGTTGTGAGTGGGGCCCCTAGGGGATCTTGGCGGCGGCCATGGGTCACTGCCTGGCAGCTGCATTGCCCCTGGGCGTGTCTGGGTGGGGGCCTGGGGGCTCGGGGTTTGGGGGTGGCCGGCCCCGGGTGGGGATCTGGGCGGGGCCTTGGGTGTTGGGTCCTGACATTTATGCTGCCGGGAAGAAGGCAGGAACACGCAGCAGTGCCTGGCCGGGGTTCGGGGGCCTCAGGTAGACCTTGGCTCCTTTGCCGTTCCATCACAGGGAAGAGGGAGGTCCAGGAGGGGGAGGATCGAACCTTACCTGGATTTCCCATGTCTTATATATTCTGGAAGTTGTGCAAATGCAGGGATGGAAATAGATATTCTGCTGGGGTGGGGCTGGGTTGGTGCCCTCGGACTCCGTGAGGCTCTGTAATGCTGCTGCTTTGGGCCCTGGCAGGATGGGCTGGGGTCTCCATGCCCTGGGTGCCAGTTTGACAACAGAGGTGCCTATTGGGGCCAGTAGGGGAGCTGGCTCCCTGGAGGGCTAAGCCAAACCAGCCATTCCTCCCCATCCCTGCATGTTCCTCTCCTCCTGCTCCCTCACATCATCATACAAATATACACATAGGACCTTGGGGGGCGGGCAAGTCAGGGAGTGCGGGTATGGACCCCATTTCCACATTCCTGTGGCAACCTGCCCCCCAATTTTATTTGCACCTTATACACTTCCACTGACGACATTCCACACAAACACACACTTAGGGCCTTGGGAGTGAGCACATTCAACGGCATTTGGCAGGGGGATATCTCAGCCTCCTCCCGGGTGTCGGTGCCCACTTCCAATTTTAAACCGCACTTAGACACCAAGGGCTGAGGGTGTAAGTGGGGTGGTGCAGTGGCATCAGCTGGCATAGGCCGGATGATGCCCGCACTGCCCGCTCACCACAGCCATGGAATACACCTCATGATCACACAACACTATATGGGAGCAGGCAGAGGGAGACTAGGGGTCTTAGCCACCTCTGTTGTTGCTTGGCTTCCTGGGGCTGGAGGCTAGGAGGGAGATCTGGCCGTCTGGTTGGGGTCTGGGGTGATGGGTTGCTGTGCTCAGCGTTGGGCGGTGGAGCCTGCTCATCAGTACCCCAGCAGAAAGGGTCAAACTCTGGTTACCGGTGATGGTTGTACCCAATGTGCAGCAGGACCAGAGTGAATAGGGTGTGTATGGGGAGCATGAGTAGGTGTCCGGCGTGTATTTTTGTAAGTCTTTGGTTGTATGTGTATGTGTGAGCATGAGGGAGGGAGTGTGTGACTGTGTTTGTGTATGACTGTATATGTCAGGTGGGGCCTTTGACTCCTCCCCTCTCCTGGAACTTCTTTTGATGATATAGATCTTCATCCCCCCTCCCCCTGCCACACCTGGTGTGAGGGGTTGTGCCTTGGTCTGCCTGAGTGTTCGTGGCAACCGGGTCTGGGGGTTTAAGATTTTGGCATCTGCCTGATAGATCCCGATGGCTGCCTGGTGGGGTCTGGGTCCCTGGGCTCTGCTGGGTCCCCGGCGGGGGTGGTTGCCCCTGGGTCCCGGGCTCGGCCGGCTAGGGGGTGGGAGGCTACGGGCGGGCCTGAGGGCTTGCCGCTGACGTCTCCCGGGACTCTGCCGGTTGCTGTTTGTGGCCCCCCGGGGCGATCTTCTGTGCCTCTCGAGGGGGGCGGGGGCCTTTCTGGTTGCAGTCTCCTTGGGGTTCCTGTGTTCTGGGGCAGCGCCTGGATTTCTGAGACTTGGAGCTCCCCCTGTCTCCTGCGCATCTTTGGGGGGCAGATCTGTGGTCCCTCACACTCTCTGTTGGACGCTCCTATAGATAAACCTTACATAAACAAGTGCGTGTACACACACAGGTGCTCCCATGGTGCTCTCAAAAGTATGGGTTTGGGCATGTTAAATACAGGTCTTAAGACTATGGTGGGCACTTAATGCACTGTGATTTATTATCGTGATTCTTCAATTAAGCAATGTTGATTATATATTTCTTCATCAAGTTGACGCAGTGATAGCTTGATCTTGTTGTATTGTTGTTGTGTCCCATTTTTTTTGCCCTTTTGCTTTTTTTGTCTTTTTCTGCAGGTCTAGAAGCAGACTCTTGTTCATTATTGTTTATTTTTGTGGACCCCCCCCCCCCCCCCCCCCTCCCCACTGTAGTGGAATATAGTTGTATATTCTTACACTTTTATTAGGTCCAGATATTATAATCAGAAGAGGTTGTTTTTATCTTCAGGGAGTTTTATTTAAACACTTTGTATTGACTTAGAGACAAGAAAAGAGAGAGTTGGGATCATTTAAGAATCTTTAATTTCCATAATTATAAATTCAAACAATGTACCAGGACTCTCTATGATGGATGCATATGGATTTGAATGTTGAAATGTTGGTGTGTGTGCGTGTTTTCAGAATCTCTAGGCTGCCGCAGGCGGATCTGGTTGTCTGATGTTATGACTACGGACCACGAGGCTTCAGAAGCTTAGGACATGAACACCATCTTGTGCCGTGTCTACGTACCGTTTCGGAGCCTCCCGTGTCAGATCAGGAAATGCCAGGTCCTCGAACCTTCCTTGGTACTGGAACTGATGAAACAGCGTCTGCAGCACGACAAAACACGTCTGCGTATCGACTCCCAGTAGCAGCGGCAGGCGTCAGCGAGTTCAGCTCTTATTTTGAAGGAACCGTCATCTTGTTGTTCAAACGACAGAATTTCCAGCTTGACAGTTCTCAGCTTAAAGTAGAAAATGCATCTGGCCAGTCTGCACTTCTCTTAGCGATGACGAATTGAGAGCTGGTTGAAACTACGTTGAGTCTATGATGTAACTCCTTTGGAACTCAGATTGAACTGAAGTTAAAATGGCGTTGCCTTGTTTTATTAACTTAGTTGTTTATAAATCTTAGCAAATTGGATTGGACAATTTCAATAAACAGCCCAGATTCTGCCCTGCGACAGACAAAAGCTCTGATTGGATGAGAACAATGTGTCATGCGTTTCTATGTTCTGGTGGATCAGCATGTCTGGTGCACAGTCCTGTTTATTAGTTAAACATAAATCATGACATTTTTATTCCACAGATCAGTCACCTGATTATTATTGATCAACATATATTTTGATTAGCTTTATCACAAATAAAGTACTTTGATTAATTAATGAAAAGCGTTCTTCTTTCTTCTGTCTCCTTTCCTGGAATGTAAACATTTAGAAACAAGCACCCGACCTTGGCAAGTCATACTACTGTGTGAAGGAGCAGCTGTTAAGGGCAGACGATAGGATCTTAATAACGCTACACCACCTTTTCTTTTCCTTTCTCTTTCACCTCTGTCTCCGTGTCTGGTCAGAATTACAAAGCATTCCAAAACAATAACAATAAAGTTTTAAGTATCAGGCATGACATTAAAAGCAGACGCTTTAATGCTCCACCTGAGAGTAAATCTGTAAGGCTTGTTACCAGCATTCAGACATCAATTCTGCTTGCTTCACAGCTAGACAGGACACGGTAAAAAAAAAAAAAAAGGCACTGGTGTGTGTACATATTAGTGGTTTAATACAGACCTGCAAAAAAACAACACCTGATAAATATATAAAATTTTGGTTTCATAAAAGAATAAATTACAGTTCTACTATATATTTCAATGAACAATACCCTAGCACTTTATTGCTCAAGAAACTTAACTTCTGTATAAATGGAGTCTTCTGATGCTGAGCCCCTTGTTGCTTTCTTGTTGACTTTTCTGCTGGTGAAAACTGGTGCAGAATAAACAAGAGAGACTTCATCCATCTGGGGCTACAGAGAAAAAGTTGAAACACACAATAAGTAAATGAACATAGTGAAATATCCTCATTTATTGTGAATCTAGTTTTACCTGCTGACCTTCCTGATTTTCTTCCAATGGTGTGTGTTCATGCAGAGCAACACTGGCTAGATTATGAGAAAAGAATACTGGCGTAAATTTCCTTTTTCCAGATTAAGTTTGATAGATCGGTAAAAGAATGACTACATACCAATGAAACACTCATCTGACGTTTCCTTGAGATTCTTGATGTAACACAGGAGTGAGGCTATTATAATCAGACACATAGCTAAAGCAGCACACAACATATAAAGAATTGTATTGTAATTCTGTGAATCAGATGCGGTTTCCCCTAAAATCAAATGGAGGAGAAAACTAATTAAAATGATTTTAGTGAGTTCAAATAACACAAAAATCTTACTAGTTACCTTTAATTGTGTGTTTTGATTTATCTTCAGGTATTTTCTCCTTAGGCACTGACACACCACAGTAATTCATCTGAACTCCAGAGGACCTGAAGCTTTTTAAATGGCTGTAGAAACAGGTCTCTGCTGTAAATCCTTCTGAGACATTTTTAATTCCAATGTCTCTTTGAGTGTTAGTGAAATTTGAATGAGTCTGATTGACCTCAGCCCTGAAACAGTACATGCTGTTGTCTAGAGGACATGAGTGATTTTGAGAGTAATGGAGGACCGAACACTGCAGAATCACAGAGTCTTTTGGATAAACCGGAACAGAAGGAGGGACGGTGGTAACAGCCAGGTCTGTGGGTTTAAACAGACAGAAAACAACAAAAAGGAATTTTGTGAGCACACGTACATTACAATATTAACAAAATTCCTTTTGTAAGTAATCAAAGGATGTAAATGTTTATGTATTTAGCAGACGCTTTTGTCCACAGCGACTTACAGGTTACAATCAAGACAGCAGGTTGCCCTTGAGGCTAACAACAAACACTTCAGTCAATCCTATTCAATTCTATTTAGTCAATCCCAAACATGTAAATGTTATCAGAAAGTATAAAAACTTTCTATTTTGAAAGGATGAAATCTGTCGAGTACTTACCTTCAACCATTAAGTATGTTAATTTTAAATATGTTATGCCTCCTTGATGTTTTCTCACACACACATAAAGGGCTGAGTCATTTAACTTTGCATTTATGATCTGCAACTGAAAAGTTCCAGGTTCTGCATTAACTTTAATGTGAGAATAAAGTCTCTCATCCAGTGGTTCTTCAAGGTATTCTGGAGGATTTTTAAAAGCAATCTTCATCCAGTGTAAGTCTCCTGCAGATCTGCGTGAGCACTCCATCTTCACACGATCTCCAACTTTGATAGACTTTCGTTCTATGACTGGATCAGCTGCACAACCTGAACAATCGTCAAACACACCAGAGTAAAATAATGAAAAAAACAAAACAAAACAAAAACATGTTAATAGTATCTTTTTGGCTGCTCTGTGTAAAGAAAATGATCATATGTGGAATAAATTTGGGAGTATACTTACATTCCTCTCTGAGCATCAGCAGTAAGTAAATTATTACCATCATTTTCTGCTAATCCTGCTGAAAACTGCTGTAATTGAGACCGCATTAGATTTGATTCACAATAATGTAATCATATAAACTGGGAGGAGTTAGTATGAGAGAAAAATGATTGGTCCCATTTTAGGTTGACATTTTACTTTTTACCACAATGGAAATGTGATGAGGCATCTCTCTGACACACAGTCAGATCCTGTCATGAGATTGTGGTTTTCTCTAACACTAAAAATAAAAAAAAACCTGTTCAGTTTCTGCATGCCTTATAAGATAAGCATTTTGATTTAGTCAGCTAAAGTTTTGTATCCTCTCATTTTCGTCATAGGTGTGGACCTCAGTCAGCACACTCAGTTTATACAAGAGGTATTGTTTCCAGTAACCTTTATTTTTCAAATTTATTTATCAGATTTTCAAATAATATGGCAAGCCAAATGAGCATTTATTCTGATATAAGGATATCTGCCAGAATTGTCATGAACATGTAAGCCATTTCTGCCCACTAGTTAACTAGTTAGCCAAGTTTGTGTCAACTAGTTAAATAGTGACAGCCTAAATGTCAACTAGTTAACAAGTAAGGCCTAAATTCTCTCTAGTTAACTAGTTAAAATGTTTCATATCTTACTAGTTAACTAGTATTGCTCAGTGTGTTCACTAGTTAACTAGTGGACAAGTCAATGTCCACTAGTTAACTAGTTAAAACACATTTAGTTTTTACTAGTCAACCAGTAAGGTACAAAAACTCGTACTAGCTGACTACTGAATGTAAAAATCCCACTTGTTAACTTTGCCCAATTTGGCCAGCGGCTTGAGCATTAATTCTGATATCTTGTCAACTAGTTAACTAGTGAGGGTCAAAATGTACACACTAGTTAACTAGTGAACACATTTTGACCTTCACTAGTTAACTAGTTGACACAAAAATGGCTCATTAGTTAACTAGTAAAGGCCAAAATGCATACCAGTCAGTTGGTTGAAGGTATTTGTGTCTCACTAGTTAACTAGTCAGGGTCAAAATGAGCCCACCAGTTAACTAGTGAACACATTTTGGCTTCACTAGTTAACTAGGTGACACAAAAATGGCTCACTAGTTAACTAGTAAAGGCCAAAATGCATACCACTCAGCTAGTTGAAGGTTTTTGTGTCTCACTAGTTAACTAGTGATGGCCAAAATGTGCACACCAGTTAACTAGTGACAGAAGAAATGCCCACTAGTTGACAAGTGAACACATTTTGGCTTCCTAGTTAACTAGGTGACGCAAAAATGGCTCACCAGTTAACTAGTAAAGGCTAAAATGCATACCAGTCAGCTAGTTGAAGGTTTTTGTGTCTCACTAGTTAACTAGTGACAGTTCAAAGTGTCCACATGTTCACTAGTGAAGGCATAACTCCTAACTAGTTAACCAGTTGGAGTAGGTCAGTGCCACTAGTTAACTAGTGAACCATTAATGGCTCACTAGCTAGCTAGTTGATTGTAGCAGGCTCACTAGTTACCTAGTTGATGCATCCATTGTCCAAACTAGTTAACTAGTTAGGACATAAATGTATACTAGTAAACTAGTTCAAGCCTACATTCACACTAGCTAGCTAGTTGCACAGAATTCTAATTAGGAGGTGGAGACTTTTTCAAATTGGGGCTTTCTATTGGCTCACTATGTCAAAATAAAATATGACAACTAATCACAATGCGGAATTTTGCAAAATCCCACCCCAAACATTTGCATGCGAAACACAAGTTAACATGCTGGCCAGAGGAACCTCAGCTAGTGAACTTGTGGCTTCAGTGTGACACTTACATGTAAACTTGTGAAGGCGGAACTACTCACTAGTTAACTAGTGAGGTGCAAAATAAGTGTCACTAGTTCACTAGTGGGCCCCAAAACGCCCACAAGTTAACTAGTAAGGTGCAAATATGCTCACTAGTTAACTAGTGAGGTGCAGATTTGCTCACTAGTTAACTAGTAAGGTGCAAAAAAGCATCACTAGTTAACTTGTAAAGTGCAGATATGCTCACTAGTTAACTAGTGGGCTCCAAAATGCCAACTAGTTAACTAGTAGGGTGCGGATTTGCTCACTAGTTAACTAGTGAGGTGCAGATATGCTCACTAGTTAACCAGTGAAGTGCGGATTTGCTTACTAGTTAACTAGTGAGGCACGGATATGCTCACTAGTTAACTACTGAAGTGTGGATTTGCTCACTAGTTAACTAGTGAGGTGCGGATTTGTTCACTAGTTAACTAGTGAGGTGCGGATTTGCTCACTAGTTAACTAGTGAGGTGCAGATATGCTCACTAGTTAACTAGTGAGGCGCAGATATGCTCACTAGTTAACTAGTGAGGTGCGGTTTGCTCACTAGTTAACTAGTTACACCTAAAAACACATACAAGCTGACCATTTTTGTCCACTAGTTAACTAGTGGAACAATTGAAGTTTCACCAGTTTACATGTGTGGCAGTGCAGCAGCTCACTAGTTAACTAGTGCCTGAAACACAAATTATGCATATTCTAATGAGAAGGCAGGTAGAAGACTCCTGTTGGGTATAAGACTCCCACCCAGTCTAAAACGTATGTGCTGTGGCCTCGCAATCACATACTGATGGGTGCCCCTGAGCACCAAGGCTTGCACTCATTAGTCATGGTTTGACACCTACTGGTTGGTCGTTGCGGCGGGTTGGAATCCCGCAGATGGCATTCCGCAATTGCCGTAACATTATTTATTTTCTCTTTGTGTTGTAATGTTCAACGTTTTATTGTTTTACTGCTTTTATACCCCCCCTCCCGAATCAAGTAAAGCACCTCGTTTGGTGTTGTGTAAGGGACATCAGATGGCGAGTTCAAGTCCCATTGAGGAGAATTGGAATTTAGTGTGCCAGTTATCTATTTTATTGTAGTTCATTTTTGTTTGGTATTGAAAGTTTGGTATTGAAAAAGGCTATATTAAAAATAATTATTGCTATATATACATATATATATATATATATATATATATATATATATATATATATATATATATATATATATATATATATATGTGTGTGTGTGTGTGTGTGTGTGTGTAGTGATCTGTAGTTTGTATATTTCTACACTATAATTAGATCTAAATATTATAATCAGAAGTGGTTGTTTTTATCATCAGGGAGTTTACTTAAACACTCTGTATTGACTGAGAGACAAGAAAAGAGAGAGTTGGGATCGTTTAAGAATCTTTAATTTCTATAATTATAAATTCTTACAATCTACCAGGACTATCTTAATGATGAATGCATATGGATTTGAATGTTATAGTGTTGGTGTGTGGGTGTGTGTTTTGTTCAGAATCTCTAGGCTGGTGTAGCGAATCTGGTTGTCATGACTAGGCTACCACGAGGCTTCAGAAGCTGATGACATGAGCCGCCATTTTGCCGTAACCACGTACCCTGTGGAGCCTCCCGTGTAGATCAGGAAATGCCAGGTCCTCGGACCTTCGGATGTGCTGGAGCTGGTGGAGCAGTGGTCGCGGCACTACAAAGCCTGTTTGTGGGTCGACTCCGGTATCAGCGGCAGGCGTCAGCGAGTTGGCTCTTATTTTGAAGGAACGTCGTCTTGTTGTTCAAACGACAAAAATCTCCAGCTTGACAGTCCTCAGCTTAAAGTAGAAAGTACATCAGGCTGTACCTCTCCTTTGGCGGTGATGGATTGAGAGCTGGTTGAAAACTACGTTGAGAGTGTGATGTAACTCCTTTGGAGCTCAGATCGAACAGAGCTGAGGATAAATGGAACTGAGTATAAAATGGTGTTGCCTTGTTTTACATCTCCTAGTTGTTTACAAATCTTAGTAAACCGGATTGGACCACTTCATTAAACAACCCAGATTCTGACCTACGGCAGACGAAAGTTCTGATTGGTTGAGAACAATGTGTCATGCGTTTCCATGTCAATGCAGATCAGTCTGTCTGGTGCAGTCCTGTTTATTCATTAAACACATAACTCATGACATCTTTATTTCACAGATCATTCACCTGATTATTAATGATCAACATATGCTCTGAATAGCTTTATCACGAATAAAGTACTTTGATTAATTAATGGAAAGCGTTCTTCTTCTCCTGTCTCTTCTCCTGGAATGTAAACATACTGAAACTGATCTGTGAAGAGGGTCTCCGTAGGGGTGAGGTAGAACACAGTGTGATTGCGTCTGATGCTTTTTGATAATAATTAACTTCATAGCTTCATGCAAACCAAACTCTTTTCCACCCAGAACTCAGCTTTCCTAGATACAGAAGTTCTGATAACATTGCATTCACACGTAGATACCATACATTACATCTAGATCCATCCATCACAGTAAATATTAGTTAACTTGTCATGTTGTGATTATCTGTGAATTAAATTCTTACTTTTACAAACCTGACTCTTTCCTTGAATCAAAACGAAGTGTTTACAATCCCTGAATAAAACAAAGAATCCAAGAATCTTCTGATTAAAGACAGTAAAGACCAAGCAGGTTGATATTCTTTATTCATATAGAGTATCACAGCTTATTGGTCATAAGTAGAGGTAATATGTATATATATTGAGCTCTTAAAGCACTCAATTTACCAAACCGTACACGGCTATATACCCCGGCACGGGCACTTAGTTCGGACAATCGTCTTTTGCTCTCGGTCCCTCTGACCCACCTAAAGACAAAAGGAGATAGGGCATTTTCTGAAGATCTGGAATGAGTTACCCCACTCTGTATGGGCTCACCTTTGGTGGCCGTTTTGAAGGGTAGGTTAAAGACATTTTCATTTGATCTGGCCTTTACCTCTGGCCATTAGTCTGTTTTTTGTCTTTTTTTATTGCAATTTTTATGTTGTTTTACTTTTCTTTTTATTTTTGTTTTTAATTCTGGTCTTGTTATTTTTATTGTTTCTCTGTTGTCACTCTTGTGCCTAAAAGGCACTTTAGAAATAAAGTTTAAATTGAGTCATACACATTCTGTACAAAAGGTGATGGAGGTTTGCTGGGATGCGTTTAGCCCAGATTTGAACCCACAACCAGTGAAGTAGTCAAGTCAAGTAGTTGATGACCCAGTAGCCCAATGTTATTGAAAACCCTCCAAAATGTTAATAATCAACTTTACACTGTTAGTGTAACAGACTTTTATAAATTGTAATTTAAAAAAAAGATGTGTGAATGACAGCATAGTTTAAAG